TCCTGTAAATTTCTCTATATGTTTTATAATTTCTTCTTGTTTAGAATACATGTGTATTGTCTTCGTTTATTTTATACAATTAAGCAAAGCATTTTTTTAGTTAAGGTGAGTTAAGTTTATTATTGCTATTTTGTATTGACATGTATTTTTTATTTTGTTGTATTTCCGCTTGATCTATTAAATAAGAAATCTAAAATGCGAACTGAATCCTGACCTTTTTTTTCTTTTCATTGATATTTCCTTCCAGTGAATGTTATTTTGATGAAAATATTGCTTATGCAACCACATTGCCTTATTTGCATTACGTATATAATAATACTCAATGGTTATTTGCCTGCGAGACCACAACAAAGCACCGATATCACTTATCGTGAAGCTTTGAAGACGTAAGGCCTTATTGTTAATACAGATCTAATCAAACGTATCTTATAAAGAATTATTATGGTATAAGACAATAGCATATAGAATCCTTCTTGACACCAATTCAACATCTCCTACGAAAGTTAGATTAATACTGAAAGGTAAAATATTAAATTCGACCAACCATACAATGCGTTATTTACAATTCAAATGTTAATGAATTTTTATGATAATTCAGAAATATTTCGTCTTTTCAAAAAACCAAACCGACATCTATTTTTACCAATATGTCAAAATGATATTCTGATTATGTACTTTTTGTTTCTTTTTCTCGTAACGTTTTTATGACTTTTGTGATAGCTTAATTACTTCCCGATGAAGTCAATTATAAATAAATTCAACTAAACACATGAACATTTGCTATGTTTTTCTATTTGAAATGTCTTAACAATTATACTGCTTTATTTGTTAATGGAGTAGTTATATTCCTGTTGACATTTTGTTGATGGTTTCTCCGTGTACGGGATGTTGTAAGGATTTTATGAATTCACTGCCTGCATTACAATTATATCGGACTATTTCAGTTACTTATAGTGTAGAGGTAATCCACCTCTACGATCTACAAATAATAACATCTATTCTCCCCTATTTCGGCACCATTTCTTTCCCTTCCTTCGATTTAAAAAAACCCAGTTCTATGCTTACAATAGCAAATCACATGTGCTTATTGACTTATTAGTGATAAACTTCTGTAAACGTTATAAATGTAAAACATTTTTGTTCACAATAATTATTCCGTATCTGTTCCGATATGCATTCCTATGTAGTGTCATACCAACCAAATCGTTGTTTTGTTACCGTTGTTTTGAATGTCAAGAAATCTTGCATTCTTGAAAAAATACAGATTAACTGAGTAAAAATTAACCATCAATAAATGATACCTGATAAGCCATATCAATAAAATGTCTTCTCTCATTCATAGGACTTGTGAATTATTATATCATTATTACTTTCTGAATAAACTAATAAATATATAGATACCTCATATCAGCTCAGTCTATCACATATGAATACTCGGATCACAAAAAGGTTTATTTCTATATTAAGGTAAAACACGCACTACATTCTATAACATTTATGTTGCTCGTTTTCCCAATTTCAGTTAATCACTGGTTACATTATCCAAAGAGAGAAATGTTTTTTATCGTAGACTGTTTATCAAGCGGTATCCGCAACAATAGCAAATATAGTGCCTTATCTTAAACATGTTTATCTCAAGCAACTTATGATATGTAAAATGTTTTTGGTTACAAATATCAATTAATGAATACCGCCTTTAATTGATGACCGGAAACAACAAAATAGGCCAACACTTGTATAAGGATTTCAATTAAAATGCAATATTTACATCGATTTCAAATTAAAGAAAACTATTTGCATTAAAGTAATTAAATATTATTTTAGATCAATTGTGTTACTTACAGTTTCGAAAACATTTTATACCTGTATGTGTTTTGTCATTCGTATACTCCTGAAAGTTATTGCCCTTTTTTATATGTTTATCAGACATTGTACCCGAAATAGTATGTATTGATCTACAGTAAAATCTTACAATAAAGGTGTATAACAAATTGTACAATAAAATTAGTCAACCACATACAATGTTGGTTTCATTTGAAAAATATACTTCATTCGATCAATATTCTTTGTAACTTCGGAACATGCACTACGTATCCAGATGACACATGTAAAACTGTAACAGTGAACACAGGTTGGCGTGTTGTTTTCCTCATTTTTTAATCCAGTCTTTGATGATTTAACATGAAATTCACATCTCTAAATATTTGATATTTGTTGAAAACATTAAAGGGTATATCCTGACGTGAAATTTCAATTTCTTAATAATGTCCTCGCTGTAATTCCTATAGAATCTCCTTATATACATTAATTTCTAATGCGCTGATAGGATACTCAGTTTCTCACTCCAAAACATTTATTTATCCCTTTAAAGTTAACTTGAAAAAAAAAGGTAAATAAAAAACGGAAATATTGACATGCAAGCAGAATCTTAATTCGAACTACAAATGGAAACAAAAGATAAATTTTCACGGAGACTCCTGATAAAATAAAATGAAATTCCGGATTGAAAGAATAAACCTAATTCATATTATGGTCTTAAGTATAATATTAATTACTTGCATATCAAATGAAGCAGTCCAAAAGGTTTTCAATATCAAATCCTGAGGTGAATATTTAGTGCAAATTATATACAATAGTGCATGCTCGTACACATTTACCAAGAAGAAAGTATATGGTTGCAATATAGATATATAACAAAGTATCGATTCTATCTTAAAACAGATTCAGTTTTATGTCAATAATATAGATTATAAGACAGCTATGTATCCAATAATTGCATATAAGTTATAAAAAATGTATTGTCCAATAGCTTAATTCTAAATATCAGCCTGTTTTCAGACCATTTATTGAGTTAAAAAGTTGTAGTCGAACAAATTTGCTACCGCTACAAAGGGGTAGTTATAAGACGTATTATGCCTCGTGTTTAAATTTATTATTACATAACGTATAAAATAGCACAAACCGAAATGTTTTATTATGATATCATTAAAGAGGACAGAAAATGACGATTCACATCGTTCCAGAGCATGTTTTACTTAGGATTATTTAACACAGGTACAATGTCGCCAGTTTCTAAATAAACAATATTCAATCAACTGAATTCGCAACTAAACATTTGTGATAACTTACACTTTCGTGTCTTGCTTGTCTTTGAATGAGAACGCAAGAAGAGTATATTTTTTATTATTTGGAACTGATTGAGAGATACATATAATCATATTTTTAAATATCTAGTATGTCATGTATAAATGCCTTCTTTCGAGAAATTTAAGACCAAAACAAAGCACTTACCATAAAGGAAATGCAATAAAAAATATAAAATAACTATTTGGAATACGGTTAATATAATGTTTTTGGGTTGAATATGTTTATCAACTGAAAATTATCCCTAGTCGACTGATTAAGTATATATTTATACTCTACTGATTTGAATAAATGTATGATACTTTATAGACAATTTGTTGTCGTTTTTAGATTAAACAAATGTTACTGTAGATTATTCTAAAATTGAGATTGGCATCGATCGGCTTTTGTGAATTCAAATCATAAATGAATCATGAAAGATACATTCATTGTATAACAGAAGTCATTACAGCTTATCAAATGACTGTAACGTAAAAGTTTGTGGGAACGATATTTAAAGATTTAAATCATCGTTAACAAAAATAATCAGCAAATCATGTCACTTTTTTTTGATATTACAAATAAAATTGTAAATTAGATTATAATTGAAAAGTGTTTGATGGAGGAATATGCATTTATAGCATAGACACCTGTATTGTGTTATTAATTTGTTATGCTTATTGACAAATAGGTTAAGTATAAATGTAAGGCATGTATATGTGGTATTCCAAAAGCAGAAAAAATGTTTATGCAAACATAACATTTTTCGTAGCTGCAAAAGTAACAATGTTGATATTCAGTCCGCTGCTTTGAATTTCCTCATAATACCTTGATCAAACAAATAATTCAAATAGTATTTAAATTAACAAACCTGATGCAAAAATCACTTTGGATTCGTGGAAGGGATAGTTTCTTATCCACTAAATTGCAAGATATCAAACGCCATTAGAAACAAATGAAATCGAGGAAATCAATGCCTTAAATTAACAAATGGGTCAAGCTTTAAACTCATTATATAAATAACCAATATAAAGAGCGCAAGATGATTCGATTTGGCAATACTAAAATGACATTAACAAGAACATCATAAGGATTGCAGATTGAAAATGGGCTCCCCTGCCAGTTTTTCTTACCTGTGTACCCCGGTTCACGAGCCGTTTAAACTTATGTGTTACCCGAGGCACAGGTAGCGTTTTACAGGTGTGATATTATCGCCCTATATCTACACGTTACGGATTTACCTTGTCCGCAGATTCAATAGCTTGCTTTGTCATCTGAAATTGAACACCATTTATCATAATTATCCTCTGTCGATTGCACTCAATGAGCCATCCCTGCTATCAATGTCAATAAACCAATCAGGATAAAAAACTGTCAAGTGGCACAATAAGAGGGGGAGGGGCTTGAATGATCCAACAACCAGTCGACCAACCAGAGCTATGGACTTAATTGAAAGTATGTCTTCTGCTAACACTTCGGTGTTTGGAAATGTCATGGTTGACTATGAGATCCTTATAGGGGAGATGTATTACAACCATCACACTTCCTTCTATGATACTGAACTATAGGGAATGTTGATATTTAGAGTTATATGCGTATGCTTACAAGAAAGTTAAATGTGCACAAATCAAACGGTACGGCATTTAGGAACACTTAATGTTGAGTTAGACGCATAAAAAATATATATGTAATTACCAGGATGTCTGATTGCTTTTTTCAAGGACAGAGTAGATGATATTGAAGACCAAATTACAAGCCACAGTCCTACTGGATGGATTATAGACATGTGATGTTTTGAAGTCAACTTCTTTAACTGCGTCTTTACTCGCAAGGAAGAAAATTGACAGAATATACTCTAGATTATTTTTAACATCGCAATGCATCGACCAAATGCCGGCGGTTCTTTTTCTATCGAATCTCTTATTGCACCCACGTCTAGTCCTCGTTTCGGACCGATGATGTGTAATGGCTATCTTTTTATGCCTCCATCGGGAATCCCTCAGACACCCATGTCACCTAACATGTTATCACCAGAATCTATGGCATATCAGATGCAATCTTATGCTCAGAGTCAATTTATTCGCGGACAGCTTGCTGCAGCTAATAGTGCATCGTTTAGGAATCATTTGCATCTCTCTGGATTAGCTGCAATGCTTCCCTATTCAGGAGCGAAATCTTTGGACTCCAAATTAACTCCAATGTCTGGTGACATCGGCTTGGATTCGCACGTGCAGAATCGGTCCCCCGAGACCTCTGGTTCCGAATCTCCTGAAACCAGTCCTGTTCCACGAATGTTCCAGGAAGACGCATCCAGCAGATGTCCACCATATTTCTCAGGTATATTTCTCTACCCGCTGTCTCAATACCAAGTAATTTAGATGCAAATGGTTTTGTGGCGATCTTAATTGTCCCACAGATTTTCTTTGTGCCTGGGCAAACACTCGAGCGAGCTGTTCCCGTCGCCTTCATATGGACAATGGGAGAAATCTTAATTAGCATTACGGGTTGTCCATTTTGCATATGGACGTTAAATTGGCTTTTATTTGAATCTGCATAAGATGTTTTATATTCGTGATACAAGTGCTCATTAATGAATGGGTGAAAAGCATTAGTAAGATTAGTTTGTGCAAAGATTAATAGTAAAGTGTATTGTAATCAATAATTTAACACAACATAAAATTGATTTAGCTATAGTCATATCTACTGCTACTGAACAGATACATGATATACAAATAACAAATTCATCTAAATAATCCTGTTATTCAGATAAAGAAAGCTGATAAAGAAAGTAAAATTGTTAAAACGTCCAACCATGTTCGATGCTTATACATTTAAAATATGACATGGAGGACAGATTCTAAATCGGCCACTTTTTACAGCCGCTATGTTTATCGTACCCTGGCATTATGGAAATATAGGTGCTGGTATGAATAAACCCTTACTGTAACAACTATGGAGATAAATTCTCCCTTAAATAAATCTTTCTTAATATCAATTTTCACAGCAAATATTATGAATTACTTGTTATTGTGCTTCATTTCTATAGTGTATGAGAGTGTCTCTCAGCGTTTGTTGCACAAAATGGAAAGTAATTAATTAATATTTTATTATTATGCCATCAATTTAAGCATATACTAAGATTAATCAATTAATCAATAAGCCTAAAAACCCAAACCGAAACTCATACGATTATATTACCATCACTCAAAAATAACATGAAATGAAGGAAAAAATGTTTATTACATCACTTTAGTTTGACTAAAAGAACTTTGTAATCAATTCGCAAAGTGAGAGATGCGTTAGTTCAGTCTAGTGTTGTAATATAATAGGGAAAATACTAGTTTTTTTTACTTGAATGATTTTCATCACATTAAGACTAGATGATAGTTTTTCATTCTATATCTAAAGTTTTGAAATTGATTGTTTTTGTTTGCAATAGTCCGTCTTAGTTTTAACATTTTCCTGCCGAGTTTGATTTCCTCAACTTTTCTCCTAACCCTTAGATTTCCACACTGCCCCTAGCATCACTAACAAGTCACAGACGGGGAAAACAATTGTTTTTCATGAAGGCAAAGTCATTGTCACTAAATACTACTTCCCACCTGTGTGTCTTTGCGCCATCCTTAATATATTTTCCAACTGATTGCTTAGTACGATATGTAACAAATACCAGGAGTTTTGTTTAAATCTAAAGGAGAGTTAAAGGTTATCATTTTTTACGGTGAAGTATGACGATGAAAGTGAAATTGTTAGGTGTGCCACTTAACCTTAACGTAACAAAAATATTTATAGTTACTTCACAACATGCACGTTGAAAACTGTTCTCTCATTAATGAATAACGTTGAAATATTTTATCTTTCAAATCATTGAAACTGCTAAATTTTTAAAAATAAACGTATATGATAAATATTGCTCTTTTATTTCTATATTATTTCATAAACGCTAAATCAAATGTGAAAAAAGCGAACAAGAGTTAGATTAACTTTCTGTGTAGCGAACATAACTGATATAAAAAAATGCTAGATCTTGAAATATAACGAAAAGCACTAGTTCATCATAATTCAAATTTTAAAGAATTTGAAATGTAATATTTAACAAAAGCCAAATTTACTAAATAAAATCCATTGAAAGTTATTTTCTAGTCTTGTTATTGTATAATGTGTATCGTTGTGTGATTACAATCATAAACAGATTTGTATATATAAAACAACAATTCACGTAGCCATCTATGATAAGTAAACATGAAGCCATATTAAATAGAGTGATAAGCATATTAACGTATTTTTTTAGTTTTTATGTATTTAGGTGCTTTCAACACTTTGGAAGATATGAAGAACAATTTTTTTTATAGTTCTGAAATTGAATGTATATTTGTTCAGGTGCAAATTACCTTGAGTCCTAGTTCTGAGATCAAAACGAAATATAATGAGTAATTTATTACGAATATTCAAAACCATCGATCAATACGATCATACATAAAAAACACAATATAAAATCTTCTACAAATATACTTTGATAAAAAGCTTGCAATTTTGTTTTTTGTTTTTTATTTTTTTCTTTTTAATTTTAATTCATTGTGGTTGTTTTCTATATTGTACAATGAAGTTACATAATAATGTAAATAGAACCACATTTAATGGTTTCTGTCCTAACAGTGATTCTTTCTACGCCAAAATGGATGACAGGATCAGATTCAATTTTAACGGGATGGGAGGTACCTAAACATGGTGTCCATTTCTATGTTAGGACTAATTTTGAGCCCACATTCTTCTCCCTTCAACGAGACCAGTGAACCCAATAATAACAAGTATCATTCTGACAATAGTCACCACCGATAGTATCATTCTCTAATTTGTATACACCATTCGTTGGTTTGATAAAGTGTTATATCATTTCAATTCAAACGGGTGTTACTGGGCAAGGTTCCCTGCCTTTGTAAAGGTTCCCATGTCGCCCGTCAAGGAAAAATCCTTACTATATAAATAGGCCTAAAGGCGTTTAGAAATTAGAAACAGATTCATCAAAAGAATAATTATTGTTCAATTATGGAATGGGATGAGCCAGTTGAAATGATCATTTTAAGATGCTTTCAGCATGTACAGTTTCTTTGTGTCCACACGACGGACACACTGGGAAGATAGTGTGGACTTAACGAGGTTTCCACTACAGAAATATGTTTGTCAAGTCTAGTGACATCGTAGTAATGGACTTCTTAGTGATACCTGAAAATCTGTATTTAATTGCTGCCGTAATCTCGGGATTATATCAGGCATTCTGCTGTATTGTATGTTTAACATCAAGAAACTTTGAATGTACTGTAGGAGAAAGAAGTTACATTCGCTCGCATTCTGCTGTTTCAGTGTCACGGAGGAGGCCATTTAGAAAAATTGTTAAATATATTGTGGGTTTTTTTTACATATCAGTATAAGCTTTCTTACCCGACAAGTATTTATGATGGAATGACTAATTAATTATATTAATATATTTTTTTTCAAATGTTCATGACAGCTGTAAATTGTTAAAAATACAGCCTTGTTGGTGCTACTATTTGATTATTTTAATACGATCGGTCGATGTTTGTAAAGTGATGGATTAAATGTATATGAATTAAGATATATATGAATTCTGACTAAAATGTTTGACAAGTGCCGCACTGGTTCACTTCATTAATTACCTAGTGTGAGCCAAATAATTAACTGACTGCATCATACAGCTGTTTTTTCTTTCTTCTAGGACGAAACAGCTTCATGGTGTATGTTTTTACATAAAATCATATATCATATCTCAAAATCGCAAATAGCATTTTTGCAAATTTGCATTGTTCAAGAAATATAGATTGTAAGACATTCACGATTGCTAATAATAATAAGAGGTTTCTAAATCAATTCAAAACGTGACAGGCAGGTTGTACATAAGTCACACGTGAATTTGCATTTAATACAAATGTATCATTGATATAATGCAATTGACGAAAAATTAAGAAACCCGTCGTCAGTTGAGACGTCATATCTTTACACATAAAAATGAATTGTTGTAATTCGTTTTGTCTGTTGTTGCAGATCACTCAGCCGAGTCAAAACAGTATGATGTTACACAACCGGAAGTAGACACTGATACTGACGATATGGACATAATAGATGAAGAACTGGACGATGAACGGATGTTACAAGTGGATGCAGACTCTGCGAACAAACACTCTGAATCTGTTGACATGGTCAAAGACACTATCACCACTAATGTGAAAATGCGGCGACGAAGGACTGCGTTTACTAGCGAACAGTTATTAGAACTGGAGAAAGAATTCCACAGTAAAAAATATCTCTCACTCACGGAGAGGTCTCAAATCGCACATAATTTAAAACTTAGTGAAGTACAGGTGAAAATTTGGTTTCAGAATCGGAGAGCAAAATGGAAGAGAGTGAAGGCTGGCATGATTCATGGTCGCGCTCCAAGTGAAATTTCTGGAAAACCGAAAATAATTGTTCCGATCCCAGTTCATGTAAATAGAATAGCGATTCGAAGTCAGCATCAACAAATTGAGAAAACGATACGGCAAACACAATAAGTGTATTGAGCACAAGACAACATCATGAAGTTTGAAGATATTGTAAATCAAAATATCTGGTGATAAGAAAAATAATAGACGTAAAAAATGAATGTTTAAGACGACGTCACTTAATAAAGCCAAGTTTACATTATATGTCCGTACGTTTTAATAAATAACGACGTCTGCAACCCTTGATGTAACAAGTGAGCATTATTTTATTGCTAATGATAAATTCTGTTGTTTTAATTAATTTAAGGGGATCAATTGGTCTATTCGTCGACTAAGGTGCGATACAGAAGAAAATAACAGCCGATGTCTCAACAGGCAATCGATTTAGCTTGAAAACAGCAAAGGTCATGTTATCAAGTATGTTTGAATCTATGCCTCATCGTGCGTATCAAGATACATTTCGCTAGGTGAAGTGTTATGCACGTGTAGCAATGACATAATTATAAAAAGGATATCGCCAGAAATCCTTTGTACCCCGAGGAATTTTCTGAATGGAAATTAGCACAGAACTTTAAAAAACCTCTTTATATGATAAGTATTTTATGTGTGTAAAAATTCATAAATGCACTGATCACATTTCCAAAATGTGTTTATCGTATTTCAAATGTACCACTACGACACACTGAAAAATAAGTATATGTATTGAATATGAACATGGATAGATACTATTAGAAAAACCGTCTCTTTGCTGAAACTTGTCGAAACATAACCTCAATAGATAGACAAACGGGCGACAAAAATATCTGTTTTTATTTATTTGTACCAGGAAAATAAAAAAAGACTCATGTTAAGAATTCGACAGGAAAAGGCATCACCCATGAACTGAAAATAACAAGCTTGATGCAAACAGGGTGTACAATAAAGTTATTTTGTGAAAATCAATCGAATCATTTAAGTCGTTTGTGAAGACTTCTAGATTGTTTTTTTACGAAATTGAGAAGATGCTTGAATTTTCTACATACCCTATAAATGGCATTGTGTAAGGTACTATATGAGAATTTCAATGCATTACCGTTAACAGATGGGTGAAAACTAAATCGGGCATATACAATATACATGTAGTTTTCCTGCTGGCTTTGTCCGGTGAATGTTTTACATCTCTTTTCTTCCAATCATCTTTCTTTTAATCTATAGAAAGCAAAATAGCATCATGAACCGCCCCTAAATACAAGTCTATTGAAAGTTGAAACCATAAAACACTATTTGAAGAGACAAAACGATCTGTTTAAACTTCAAGGGAGCAGTTTTCGATCTTTTCTCCTTATCCGTAAATGAAGCAGTGGTACACAAAGTAACGATTTTCTAGTGTAAATGACATGTTGATTTGAGGTACATACAGTTAATATGAGAAATGTGTGTTATACAAATGTAGCTAAATTATGTATTGACGGAAACGTTTGCAAAACAACTTTAAAGATATCGATTCAACGGATTCGATTTTTAATCCATAATCGATTTTCACGAATTTTGAGAATTTTTTTTTGGCAAAAAAAAAAAAAAAAAAAGCAACAAAAAAAAATTTAAAAAAAACAAACATAAAACAAGAACAAAAAAAAATAAACAAAACAAAATACGAAAATATATATAAACAAATAAATAACCCCACACATTCATATGTACCAACGGCTAAGTGAAAGTTAACGAAATAGGATACAACGCTAAATTACTATTTAAATTATGTCTCGTCTCAATGTCGTCGAGGTGTGATGAGGAATACATCTAATCTACTGTCTGGAATCATTGAAGTATTTTATGGATTTTTGACTGTAAAGAGCTTATAAAAGCAATGCACAATCTATAATTAGAAATCTTACTTAAGTGGAACACTCGGAACGCCTCCGACTCACTGGAACACTATGCTCATAAATAGGTTAATAGCACAAATAATGAAAAATAACCCATAATATAACGAGTATGTGGTCTTTTTTTTTTTTTTTTTGGGGGGGGGGGGGGTGGGTGGGTATTGTTATGTATTGTTAGTTGAATTTATCGCCCTGTAGTTGTCTTACATAACGCTTATTGATTATTTGAATATTGGGTGTTTATCTTCACTTGTGGACGAAAATACAGAATGTTAATAGCTTATTTTTTATGTTACCAGTTTAGGATTAAATCACCGATATGTTTTTTTTTCTTCTTTTAATTAACAACAATTGCGAAACAAGCTATCAGCTTTTAACAATCACTCTTGCACACTCGAATGAAAGCGCGACAGAGGTATGTCATTAACTGTGGGAGGAAACCGGATGGGCAAGTTACCCCTTACCTTTTCATGTCGCTCGGGGAATCGAACCCAGGGCGTCTATGTGAAAGGCGAGTGCGTTGCACCATGCGAGCATCTTAATGATATTATCAATAAATCATGACACAGTTATTATGATTTGGTATAGCATTCGTAATAGGGAAAAAACCGTAATTCATACTTCCAGATTATGCTACTTACATGTGTATTCATTATCTATCAACAAAAAAAGAGCGGGAAAAGGGAAAGGTATCATAAGCACGTGATAAATGAAGCCCGTCTCTGCAGGATGTCATATAATAATCGTTATCAAAAAATACCCTTGTGACAAAGTCTCACTTAACGATTGGAAAATAATCCATAACTTTCATTTGAACAAGTGAATATATAAATAAATTTCAAACGAGATAATTACCACAACATCGCCGTCACTCCAAGCAGGAAGCTGAGAAATGATAATCAATTTCTATTGTTGAGATTAAAATAACACCAGGAAAACTTACTACATTCAAACCGTGATTTGTTGGAGTCGGCTTGAATCCAGGCGACTGTGACAAGTGTCTGAGTTGTGAAGCACTTGTCAACTTGACTTGCAAACAAAACCACACGTCGTTTTTGTAAGTGAAGCACATAGGTGTACAGCTTGTCGATATTCTCTCCCTCCTCCCCAGAAACAAAGGCTTTATTAGATACGTTACTGATTAGTCGGTGCAACGTGTCTTATCAAACTCTGATCACGTCGTTACCGCCATATCTGTACCTCCAAAGTCCCCCGGGGCCCTAACAAATCTCGACCTGGTAGGTCGAATACATTAGCAGGGAATCTTCTCTACAATATAAATAAAAAAACACATGAGAAAAACTAAATAATGTAATCTCGCTCAGGGTGTAATATGTGTCCTGAACTCAATTTAATTATTATGGATCGACAGTAGTTACTACAAATTAGACAGATACATATGAAAACAGAAAACAAAACAGTTGAAATTTTATTTACATAATTAGAACGGGGATCACAAACAACAGAATAACAAAGAATGGCGGAGAATGTAAAAAGTGGTTAGTTTTCCAGATGTTGGACTTTTCACACTTGATGACTTATCCATGGACATTAACCATCCCACAAATACCGCAAAGTAAATGTAATCATGGGACAAAGTGGCAGGTAAACGGATATCCGGATAAACAGCTGATCCACAGATATCAACGATTAAATTAGGCATTTATTTCTAGTAAGAAAAATAAGGTAACATATTTATAATACATCTGTACATGATGTATCACATCAGTTCACACAGTCAGGAATATAATATATAGGACGCCAATGACTTTTTATTAAACATTTCATATCATACTTTACCATATTGTTCTCCGGACCTATTTATTCTGTATGTGTTCTGGTTACGAAAAGCTAATCGTGTGGTATAATGAGCACTCTGGCTTGAGACAAACTAAAATTAATTAGCTGATATTCCATTTCCTAATTCACGTAGCTGCCAAACACTTTATAAGTTCGGGTTTTTGTTATAACTTTAAATCCTTTTTCTATGCGTGTATCTAAACAATAGAAGATATTTTTTTAAACACATAGGTTTGTCTCATTAACAGAAACCCTTAAACATTAAAGGTTTGTGTCAATCTATTATACTGAACAAGATGTAGCCGCACAGTCATATCTAAATTTTCCTCTTTACACATTCTGTTTCTCCATGAGAAACAGTTTAAACGTATTTGCAGTCTCAGCATTAAGTACTGCAATGTCAAAATATTTTTTTAATCACAACAGATTTTCTGATCTAGTACTAGTATGGAACTACCTATATTCGCCAATTAACTACACATCTCCATTAATTCTAATTGCACACGTTTCCTGTGTCACTACCTATTCATTCATTTTATTGACTATAAACCTAAAGGCACATCAGTACAAACACACATATATATGCACAGTACATATAACCTGAGAATTAGCAGTTGAAGTACATGGTTGAGACTACAGTATAAAATGTATAGTGAAAACATTCATGACAAACAAATCTGACATAATATACATCATGTTCCCAAATAGGCTTAAATAATAAACATCATGCACATATGTTCTTATAGGAGTTTTGATTATTACTCAACCTAATTGTGGAAGAATTAAACAAATTAAACGTATGTAGTATTATTCTCTAAATTATACCGTACACTGGGCCAAACTTAAGAGAAAGTGTCTAAATTATACTGTACATTGAACCAAACTTAGGAGAAAGTGCGTAAATTATACTGTACATTGAACCAAACTTAGGAGAAAGTGTAAATTATACTGTACATTGAACCAAACTTAGGAGAAAGTGCGTAAATTATACTGTACATTGAACCAAACTTAGGAGAAAGTGTGTAAATTATACTGTACACTGGGCCAAACTTAAGAGAAAGTGCGTAAATTATACTGTACACTGGACCAAACTTAGGAGAAAGTGAGTAAATTATACTGTACACTGAACCAAACTTAGGAGAAAGTGCGTAAATTATACTGTACACTGGGTCAAACTTAAGAGAAAGGGTGTAAATTATACTGTACACTGAACCAAACTTAGGAGAGAAAGTGTGTAAATTATACTGTACACTGGGTCAAACTTAAGAGAAAGGGTGTAAATTATACTGTACACTGGACCAAACTTAGGAGAAAGTGTGTAAAGTATACTGTACACTGGGTCAAACTTAAGAGAAAGGGTGTAAATTATACTGTACACTGGACCAAACTTAGGAGAAAGTGTGTAAA